AGGCTGGCGGTTCCCTCCGTCAAGTTCAGTGCGCGCAGCTGGGTGGGGCCGTCCGGAACTGGGGGAAGGGAGGCTCAGAGCGGACCTTCCTTCCCAAACCCTCCGACACTCCTCCCCTCTCTGGCCACTCAACCAACTCCCGCCATGGCCTCCTGCGCCGCCCGGCCGCCCGCCTCTCACCCGTGGTGAGGAAGCCGGTGAGCGGCTCGCTCTCCTCGAAGCCTCGGACGGACACCACGGTCACCTCATAGTGGGCGCCTGGGACCAGCCCCCCGAGCTGCTGGGTCCGGGCTCTGCCGCCCACCAGCACACTCTGTGGCTCCCCTGGAAAGACAGTGGGCTCAGGAGGCTGCGGGACGCCAGGAGGGCTGCAGGGTGGGCAGAGTGGAGGGCGCAGGGGACACGAGACCAACGCGGACATGGGCAAGGGCGTCACCTCCGTCCACCAGCTGGTAGGACACTTTGAAGCTGTCGGCTCTGGACGGTGGGGGCGTCCAGCTGACCTTGGCTGAGGTCTCCCCGATGTCGCTGAACTGTAGGTCCCGGGGGCTCTCCAGAACTGAGGGCGAGATGTGCCGAGTAATGAGGATGAGGGCATGGGGCGGGGCTCCTGTCCGGGGTCCCCCTCCCGCCCCGGGCCCCCTGACGCCAAGCCTGGCCCTGCACGCTGTCGGCCTGGTGGGGCCCGGGGAACCCGTACAGCGTCAGGCTGTACAGGGTCCCCGGGCGCAGGTCCCGGAGCACGGCCGAGAGCTGCGTCCCCGGCACGGTCACCTCCCGCTGCAGCGGGGGACGCGGGTGCGGCCCCGGAGTGCTTGCTGAGGGGACCCCGTAGCGGAGCAGGAAGGAGTCGAAGGCCCCGGGGGGGGCCTCCCAGTTGAGCCGCAGGGAGCTGGTGGTCACGTCGGTCACGGACAGCTGGGACAGCCGGGGCCCCGGCCCCCCTGGCGTCTGCCCGGCAGGGGCCGACCCTGCACACAGCGGGTGGGAGGAGGGTGAGGCAGAAGCACGCCGGGGGACTGGGGCAGGTTCCCCTGCCGCCTCTGCCCGCCCAGGCCCCCCTGGCGCTACCTGTGGTGCCCTCCATGGAGACGGGCCCCAGGCGCTTCCCTTCGTGGAGGCCATAGAGGAAGAACTTGTAGGCGGTGCTGGGCCCCAGGGCTGAC